TATAAGCAAGTTTAGCAAAACTAAAATTATAATGTAAGGGGGTGAAATATACTTTTTATCCAAACATTTTGTAGGACCCACAACTTACAACTCACTTATCATCCACACATTCCATATGACTCACAACTTATAAGCAGTACCAAACAAGTACTATATTTTTAAAGATTTGCAGTCTGCTATTCGAATGCGTGGCTCTATTTTGTTAATGAGAGGAAAACCTGCATTAGACTGGTAGAGATGCATTTAATATGTGGAGGCAACCAGTAATGCTAATCTGTCACAGATGTCTAGAAGGCCTTGCTGATTACGGAAACAATATCACCTCAAGTCAAATTTAGATAGTGAAAATTATTGCAGTTGGGTACCAGATAATCATTAGAAAGGCGGAATAAAGTTGAGAACCTCATATCACTTCAATTATCACAGTTGGTCTTATTCTTCATTAGAAAATAACGAGACAAGGAAACTGAGTTGCGTGGATATTTAAATGAAGCCAATTAGGACATAGTAAAGAATAAACTACTGATAAAATTAATTGGGTAAAAGAGAGAAACCATGAAAGATGTAATTTTACCTTGTTCAACGATAACATCAATAACCAAGGATAGAGGTACATGCTTTTCAATTTTCCTATCTCCGCAAAAGGGTATAAATGAAGGCCTTGATACCTACAAATGAAGAAAAACTCTCATACATTAGCTCCAGATTATTAATTTCACTGTAGAAGGTGAAGCTAACAACGTGAAATCAATTCATTGGAAGATGAGATACCTTGTAGACTATTTCTGTCGATGTAACATAGAGCTTCCATGATGCTATATCCTTCTTAATCACACATCTTCTAAAAGGCAAATATAGCAGCATAATGATCCCAATACCCCATGCTAAAACCAGCATAGCGATATTGAGAACAATATTATAGTATCGTACTGTATGTTTTTTGATGCTAGTTCTTTAAATGATGCTGTGTATAGAATGTGTGAGGGAATATCGGCTTCTTCATCTCCATCTACATCAGAGACAGGGTCAGAGAGCAACAAATCTTTTGCTGGCTCAAGCTTTGATAGTCCCTCAGCATGACCCATCAGCATCTTTCAATCTTAAATCTAATGACAAGTTATGGAGTTTATCAACTGGACAACAAAGTACTTCTTGCAGAGGGGGGAAAAATGAAAGAAAGAAAGAAATGTATTATCAATAATATAAATAAGAAATTGTCCATATACATGAATTTCGTTTTAATTCAAAATATGTAGAATAAAGGAAAACAAATTATTCAATCAAATACAAAATGTATAACATTTTTTTTCTTGTATCATAGACAAATCTGTTATTTCCTTAATTACTAATTCCAGACCATAAATCATATGTGATTGAATTTCATTTTTAAATTCTACTACAACAGAACATAGATCAAGTATAATGCTAACAGCAATTATTTACGTGATTGAACTGCCTTTTAAATTCAACTAAAATAAAACATAAATCAAGCTTTACATTTTAACAGACTCAATTGTACACTTTAATACGTCGTGAAAAACTAGCATATATCAGCACATTAAATTATTAATCGAGAGGAAGGTTTTAACAAGAAAACCCCAAAGGACTACTGTCTACTGATGATAACATAATATAGCTAATATACGAGCTTCCATTCATCCAATAATAAACAAATAACACAATCAAGGCAACAGTATAACGAAAATTTAATTAGTAAAACTAATTAAAAATCAAGCTTTAGATTTTCACACGCGCGCGCACACACTCAATGCCTCGTGAAAGAACTAGTATACATCTTAAATTATTTAATTGCTAGTTAGGTTTTAGCAAGAAGGCGTGCTATAATTAGTATACGAGGTTCAATTCAAGCTATGTAATAGACAAATAACACAAAAACAATGCAACAGTACAACGAAAATTTTAATCATAATTCTCAACCAATTTGCTGCGTTTGGTGAGTTTTTTTCACTAAAGATAACTATAAATTTAAATTCCATTCCTCTGATTGTTTCGAGCTACCAAACAGAGATCAAGACAACCCGAAAAAGAAGAAAATAAATATAAATTCGTATTTTTACCTGAACTCTTTTCCGATTAAATTGAAATGCGAACTCACTGTTTTCGGTAATCGATTAAAGGAAGATTTTTGTTTTCGGGAGAATTTCTCTGTATAAATGTCTTGTGGAGCGCGCAAATGGCCGAACTTGACATTCAGATTACCCGTTAAATGAATTCGCTGGACCCAATTTGGCGGAAAAGGTTAAACGGTCTCCAACCATTAAAGCATGTTTGGCTATAAATCGTTCTTCTAAGTAAAACAGTAGATTTTAGTATGAAATATTTTTTAAATTGGAAAACTTCTCAGATCAATTGGTTAGATCATGAAAACAATGTTCGACAATATTTAATAAAGTAAGAACGAACATAAACACGAAATTGACTAGTATGAAAAATAAACATGTAATACACCGTGTCTTTTGAATTAGATTCGTCTTCTAGTTGTAGGTGCTTGATGTTTGTTGAGTATCTATCTTTCAAGATATAATTGGTAAAATTAGTAGAAAACTAAATACTAAGAGTGTATTTGATTTAACGTTTGAGATCATTTTCAATTTTCTAAAATATTCAAAACATGTGTTATTTTAAAAAATGCTTTTTGAAAACAAAGACAATCGTACAACATAAAATTCAAAATAACTTTTCGACATTTAAGTGATTTCAATTCAAACTCTAAAAAGACTAAAAATAAGGAATCCATCTCTCTCTCTCTATTATCCACGTATGATTTCATTGCGATTATTGAAGATATACTTACAATTATTCTTTTTTTTTTTTTTACCAATTTTATAATTTGTGTTTTTTGATCACTTATTAGCATGAATTTGATAAGTTTTACTAAATAATCAAATTAATTGAAAAAAAAAGTCATAAAACTATTTTTAAAATTTTTAAACCAAACGAGTTTTCAATTTTTTTGTTTTGAGAAATAGTTTTTAAGAATGACAAACCAAATGCGTTTTCTGCTATCTTAAAATAATCACTCAAAACAAAAAAAAAATAGAAAATGAATTTAAATTTGAAAACAAAAAAACCGAAATGCAAACGAAACCCACCATAACCTTGTACTCTAACAAATTAAACTTGTGTGAACACTATCATCAAAAACATCAGAGTTCTTAGAACGTCATAGATAATTAGGGTACTTTTAAAAATGATCTGGTCAAACGCCATATTTTGCACTTTGACTTTTCAACTATTTCATATTTTCACAATGGCCTTTTAGATAGTAAAAGACAAATATGCCCTTAAATATATTATACAATTATAAAATATTGCTTTGTTTAAAAGACAATACTACATTTTAATTAACAAGCGAAAACCAAATACTTCCCACTGAAAAATTTTAAAATCAACTAACTTTTATAATCTATTTATTCTAATACAGTTAAAAACTCTTTCATCTTCTATCTTCTTCAACATTAAAATTTCAAAAATATATTGAACGTCGAACAAGAAAATATTTTTTTATATCAATTACTTCGAATCGATAAGTATATTTACATATTTTAATTTCATTTTTGTTAAATTAGTATACGTTTTTAATCGATAAATTTTATTTCAACATAGATTATAATATAGATAAGTTTTTAACAGATATATAATTTTTTAAGTATGAACAAGAAAAAAATCCATCTGCATGTATGAATTCTTTCAGATCAACCCAGCTGTTATCATTGGCAGAATGAGTTATTTATAGTTCACAAGTATACACGTGAACATACTTACAACGATCTACAGATTTTAGAATATCAATAACAACGTCCATCGAGAGATCGGAGTGATCGCGAGCTACCAAAAGGCCTATAAGGCCAAGAATGTGTGTTAGATGATTTAAAAGGCTCAGACGCAGAGAGCTGTGTTAAATTAGTCAGGTATTGCCATAAATTGAAAACTACTAATCCTGGGGCTCAACATTTTTTATTGAGACAGAGAGCGAGAAATACTTTAAGTTTTTCTTTATGATTCTTGAACAATGCATTCAAGGATTTCGAAATGCAATACGACCCGAAATTTTAATAGATGGTACAACACTAAAAGCTAGATATCAGGGTAAGTTAATTATTGCTACATGTCAAGATGATAACATCCAAATTTACCCTTTTGCATTCAACATAGTCGATAGCTAAAATGATCTATCGATACGTTGGTTCTTTACAGAACTGAGGGAAGTAATAGGAGAAGTCGAGGACCTTGCTTTTGTAACTGATAGAAAATCGTCTATAAAAATAATATCGCTAAAGTTTTTCTCAAGGCACAACATGAGTATTGTATATACCATATATAAGGCAATTTGATGACTAGGTATCAGGGTAAAGGCATCGTTTCATTGTTCAAAAGAGCAGTCGAAACTTACAGTATTGAGGAGTGAATAAATTCATGGTCAAAATAGGAAGTAAATCATTCTCTACAGGGAATTATCTATCAAAAATGAGGATTGAACATTAGGTACCGTCACATTTTTTAGGATATCGATACAACATGATGATGTCAAACAATGCAGAGTTTCTCAATGATATATTCAAGAAGGATCGAGAGTTACCAATTCTCGCAATGATTGAGAACATTCGTTATAAGCTGTAGCAGTGATTTCACGATCGATATGCTGAATCACAGAGCTGCACGATCGAGCTAGCCCTGGCCCAAGAGAATAAAGTCTTCAATGCTGTAGAGGTTGCAAGAAAGTTAAATGTGGAACCACTAGATGAGTTGTACTTCTCCATGAAATGTGTATGTAATATGGCATACATGGTGGTTTTTACTGATAACATATGTATTTGTAGTTGATTCATCTAGAGAGTTTTCCATATGAGCATTCAGTCATAGTGGCTATGTATATAGGCTTCACAATGAGGACATTATGCTCTCTTTATTACACGGTTGATTATTAGAGAGCAGCATATGCTGAGACTATATTTCCTCTATTAAATTAAGCCAAGTGGGAAGTTCCCGTCCATATTCTCCTACTTAATAGTTTGTTGCCACCAGAAATTGAACTGCGTGGTCCTGAACATCCATTTGGTCCAGAATACCATCTACCAGAGAGTTTTCTCGATCGCATAAGTACGGCAGATGTAGAGTAACAGGGCATACTCGTCAATTTTGTACAAGTCGAATTTTCCTAAATAATAATTACACCAATGTGTAATGACATCACTCTTAAATAAACAATATTTAAAATTATTTCATAGTTAAATAAAAAATTAAATATACAATGTTTACATTTATTTTACATTATTTATATTTATTTCATAATTAAATAAATAATTGAATATACAACGTGTGTCTGTGCGTACTTTTATGCAGTTTTTAATTGCAATTTTCACCTTTAGGCATTTCTAGTTATTTTTTTAATTTCAAATCCTACACACTTCTCTGACATTGCCAAACACCATATTGCACCACTTTTTCAAGTTTGCCCTTCCATTAGATACAACCAACAACCTACCTACCCACATCAATTTTCCATCTCTCACCCACAGTCCCCAACGGCAGAATCCACTTTCCATTTCACCCCAATCGTAACGAATTTTACTGAAAACAAGGGAGAAAAAATTTGTCCATGGCTGATGACATGCAGCTCTCTCATGTCCTCACTTTCAATTTGAACCGGCTATGAGAAGCCGACAGCTAGCAATTAGTTTTTTTCATTTCCTCATTCACATCTTTCACCATTTTCAACTAGCAAAAGATTAGCATTTCAGACACTTCTTTATTGCCAGCTAGTAGCATGAGGACACTTTGAGCTTGCTTCAAACACCTGTTTCTTATGTCACTAGCGTCCTCGCCATCTTTCCATGATTTGACCGTCAAACACCATGGATCCGTTCCTTTATTCGGCATGTTCAACTCAAAAGCCTCATTTTTTCGATCGACGATACTCATTCCCAATCTTAGTACATCCTTTTTTTTTTACTTGTCACTGATTATTGTTGTTGGTATTTGGAGCAAATGGCAACTACCCACACTCGTTTACCTCCAATGTCCATCCTGTTCGAAGTCAGTCGGGGCCTCACAAGAATGTAAAATGGAATGACTATGAGATGAAGGTGTTCGTTGTCGCCTGGGAATCCGTCATCATCGACGAACATCAGAATGGAAAGTGCTTCACCAAGCACAGTTGTGAGACACTTATTCACTTGTTTAACAAAAACTCCAGCCATCATTGGACTAAGCAGTAACTTAAAAATAGATGGGATGCTCTCCGAACGAAATACACGAGATTAGAGGAGTTGATCAATTCCAACGATATTGCCTACGACTAATCGATCAGCAGAATCTGCGCCTCAGAGGAGTGGTGGGTCTGAAAAATTAATGTACCATCTTTTCATATACAACCTTTCAAACGACCGTATCTGCATGCATTGAAGTAAGCGTCTGTTCATTTACATTGGAAGTTGTGTCACATATTTGTGTTGTGGGTTTGGCGAATAGGCCCTAATTTGTTGTTGTGTTCGCTGTTATTTATTTTCGAGATTTTGTATTGATGAATAGATAATTGTTGCAAGTTTAATCGGTGTAATATTGTAATGGGAATAAACAAGTCGCCTGATCTCATGTTTATTGCATTTGGCTTTCGTTATCCTGCACGTAACTTTTATTCACATTTCTACATAACGTGTAAAATCCTTTCCATTTGTATTGCGCAGGAGAACAAAGACTATAAAGAATTTAAGGATTGAGACTATGAGATGTGTACGGATACAAGGCTTTGTTAGGGATGCGTTCAACTGCGACAAGCATGTAGTCGCCCCCTTCTAAGACATGCCGAACTAGATTTACAATGTTTGAGGATAGCAGATATGATGACCATCGAGATGAGATCCCTGTCGATGTCGAGAGCAGTAATTTAAGTTACCAGGGCGAAAAAATAGGTGCAGCTATAGCAAGTGTGGATATCTCGGGACGACAAATGGAGACAAACGAAAGGCAAGCACCAAAATGTTGAAGGAAAAGAAGAAGATATCCACTCAAGAGAATTATCATACTCTGTAGATCGTAGGACAACGACCAGTGAGAGGGTTACTCGACAACCTCATCGGATCGCCTGTTTCGGACCCAAAGACATGCATGTAGGGGTTATTGGCAACTAGTTGATGGGAAAAAAATATTGATCTATACTTATGGACGTGTACATATCTTTCCCAAAAAACGCAAAAGGGAGATATTGGATATGCAAGACAATGCGAATAAAAAATTTGCATTGGTAGAATGAAATTGGTAGGAGTATCGTAAAGCTCAGCCTTGGTCAAGTTTCTATTCGAGTGGGTAGAGTGGACCTCTTTTTCAAGTGAAAGCATTAGGGTGGGTTTGGGTTATATTTAAC